CAAAAAAAAGACGCAGAAATATGATTTTAGTGTGTATAACATTCTTGTTCCAATGAAGACCATAGATGAGATGCATCACACAATATTGACCAAAAAGGTTCTAAAAATTTTAAGAAACTAAAACCCTAAAAGATTGTTGATTATCTCAAAATCCATAGTAATCATCAAAAAGATCATGGAAACAAAAAAAAAAAGGGAAATTAAGAAAAACATAAACAGAGAAGTGTGAGTTTAGTGTGTATGTGTGTATCATGATTATTTGTTTCAACAAGATATTGAGATGGAAACCCTCTGTCATCCCTATGTTTTAGTTCCAACAAGATATCAGGATGCTACTACTTAGTTTATTAGTCCTAAAATGGTGAAACTAATTATCCTATAGTGGATGTTGCTAATAGACAGTCCGCAATAAAACATTAAGATTAACAATTCATGCCATGCCATATACAAGTAAAAGCTTCAAATTAAATATTCTCATGGTTTCACATTAGTTTTCTCAACAAAAACCAAATACCAAGTGATGGCAGTGCATTTTACGGCCTAAACACTGAGATTGCAATACGACTCTATAAAGAAGATACCTTCACCCTAGTCTATGGTGACTTTCCAGCCACCAACATCGACCAGACCAACAACAAAAACAGATGGGGAGAATTTAACTTCCCAACCCCCCCCCCCTCCCTCCCTCAATCTTTTATGTTCCTACAAGAAAACCTAATGCCACCGTTTCTTTCACTACTAGATTATAGTAAAAGCAGGCATATTACACACTGGGTCATTTAATCAAACACTTGGTGCTCAAGACAAACCAACAAAAACCATCAAGGAAATCGAAGTCCCAATCAAAGAAATCGAGATCATTGGTATTCACCACACTTTCTACCTCGTTAATGTCAAATGTAGCATCACGAGAATTACACCTGGTGTTCATACAAGAAACAGAAGATGGACATACCAGAAGTCTATGGCAGAGAGCGAGAGAGAAGATATCGTGAATCCTGAGAATGAAATCTGAAACGGTAAAAAAAAGTTTCCACTAAAAGTAAACCTATCGGGCTTGGGCATAATAGCAGACGGGCGGATAATGCCCTTTGGGCTTCTGTTGTTAGGCTATGGCCCCCTGGCCTGTAACAAGGGCCGATTCTGCTTTAGCGAATTATTTTTAATTTAAAAATAAAATTTTAACGGTTTATAATCACATTTAGGAAACGGTAGATCGATGGAGATGGAGGTCTCCTGTGAAGAAATCGATGGAGATGGAGGTCTCTTGTGAAGAAATCGATGGAGGTGGATGGAGACGGTAGATGGGTATTAGGGTTATTGTATATTTGTCAAATATGTCTTGTTCCACTTAGTGCTAGGGGTGAGGGTGAACAGGCGTGTCCCATACGTGTTCCACTTAGTTCCACTTAGAAACACACCAAACATGGGACAAGTGTGTCTTGTGCTGTTACACATTGTTCCACGTACCAAACATACCCTTAAGGCTATATTTTTCCTTCATTTTAGAGCATCTTCTTTAATAAGGCTATGTTGCTAATAGTGGATTTAATTTTAATATTATATAATATAATTAGACAATTTTAATATATAAAAGTATAACAAATATGCACCCTCATTTAAGAGTACAATCGAAATTATTTTGTTTTAAAAGCAGTCAATTCCGATATTACATGATATAAGTAAAACATGGGTGTTGCTATTTACATTTATATTTACATCATAATCATGCAAGTTGGTTCCCCAAAATAGGAATCAAGTGCAAGTTGGTTCCACAAAATAGGAATCAGGTGCAAGTTGGTTCCCCAAAATGACGATTTTGAAAATTGGTTCCCAAAATAGAAATTAGGTGCAATTGCACCAAAATGGAATCAACTTTCACCTAATTTCTATTTTGGGGAACCAACTTTCAAAATCGTCATTTTTGGGAACCAACTTGCACCTTATTCCTATTTTGTGGAACCAACTTGCACTTGATTCATATTTTGGGGAACCAACTTTCAAAATCGTCATTTTGGGGAACCAACTTGCACTTGATTCCTATTTTGGGGAACCAACTTGCAAAATAATTATAGAAAAATAACTAAAATTCGTTTTTTTTTTCCAAAAATTAATGCAATAAAATCTATTTTTCATTTCAAATATCTTTTTTTTAATTCAGATATCAAATTGAACATTTAAAAAAAATCCAAATTACCACAATAAAAATTGTTTTTTACTAATGCAAAAAAAATCAATTTAATAGAAAAAAATTAATTGATGCAATTGGTTAGATATAAAAATATTGAATGTGGTAATTTGCATTAGTAAATATTGTTTTTTCTATTAAATTGATTTTTGTTGCATTAGTAAAAAACAATTTTTATTGTGGTAATTTGGATTTTTTTAAAAATGTTTAATTTCATATCTGAATTAAAAAAACGAGATTTGAAATGAAAAATA